CCCTCGCCCTATGGATGTGCACACACCCTGTGGTACTTGCTGAGTCAAGTCTGTCTGTCTCTTCTTTCTGCATTAAGTCTCTTCTGTCTAGGTGTAGGAACTCTGTGGATGAAGGATAGGGCCTCGTTGACCAAACCCGTGCTGTCTGACGACTCGACTGTCCTGGCGGACACGAACCCTCTCGAGGACCGGTACAGACCGGCGGGCTGCTCGGTGTGGCACGGTAGGCCCCAAAAGCTGAGATGTGGGCTGCACAACAGACAGTCTAAGTGTTGAGAGACCTGCTGATCGCGTCGTCCTGTTTGCGACGTTAAATAATTCTTGAGGAGTTACGGGGGATCTCCTTAAATGCCTCCTGATCAGCAACTGGTCTAGTAGTGACAGCCTTAGAGTAGGTCTAGGCTAGAGACCCTACTTGACAGGATCCCTGTCCGGATTTTGTGAGTCTTTAGATTGAGTCAGTAAGTTTGTCAGTCAGGGGTTAGAGTCTAAGTGGTGAGGTTTGGAACCGTTAACCCGGTTGTGCACTAATCACCATGGTTGACACTCGTAGTGGGAAGAGCACTAGCCCCTATACCCAGACTCAACAAGAGCAGATGGCCGACTTAGTGAAAGAGAATAGAGAGAGGAAAGAGCTCCTGAGGCAAGCGAAATTGAAAGCAGTCACAGAGGAGCAGGCGGCGAAAATGAAGAAGGCTGAGGAAGAAGCGGCAGCAGAGGAAGCAGAAGAGAGAAGACGAAGGGAAGCAAAAAGGGAGAGTAGTGGCACAACGAATGAGGATGCTGAGATGGAGAAGAAGATCAGCGAGTGGATAGCCAATTTATCGTTGGGGGAAGATGAGGAGGCATAGTTGTATGTGCCACAGGAGGAGAAGGAGGCGTTTGCCAGGGCACTAGCAACGATTGAGGACCCCCTGGAACGACAGGAGAGAGAGGAGGAGAGGAAGTTGGAGTGGAAGTTGAGAATGAAGAGGGAGAAGAAGAGAAGGAGGGAGGAAGTTAATCGGTTGACTGTAGAGGTGTAGAAGGTGAGAGCCTGTAGGCAAGAAGTGCAGGCGCAGGCAGATGTTTCTGCCAAACTGGACAAGATGTTGGGGTATCTAGAGGTATTGAGTGAGGCCTGGCTGGAGGAACGCCAAGCCAGCTGGGGTCACGATGTGGCCCCGAGTGCCATGCGGTCAGGGTTTCGAGAGTTTGCGCGCGACATGGTTACCCACGTTGGTGCCGAAGTCAGGCGGTTGAGAGATAACGTGGGGAGGTTCTGTGAAGGCGCCATTGAGGGTGCCAAAGCAGTAGCCACCGTTGAGAGCGAGGCCAGACCCCGCAAGGACCCAGTTAAGCTTAAGTTCCCGGACGCGTACGGCGGGAAGCCAGAGGAGAATTTCGATAACTGGGAGGCTAGAGTAAACAATTATGTTTACTTACAGCATATCGTACAGGATGATCAGGTCCTTGTAGCCTTCCAAGCCCTCAAGGAGGAAGCGGCTAGTTTTGCTTGGTCTCTCGCGCGCGCGGGCGGTTGCGAAAACAACATGGTCGCTTATTCCAAAGTCACCCCCCTCCCTCAATTCTTCAAGCTCCTTAGGGAGCGGTTTGCTGATCTTCGCAGGGGCGTGAGAGCCTCTAACAAACTCCAAACCATCCACTCACGGCAGTGGAGGAGTGTCAGGGCACTCAAAGCCGTTATGGACGACCTGGTGGCCGTCCAGGACCATGGGGTGACTGAGTCCCAAGTGGTCCACCTTTTCTATCGTGCCATGCCAGAGCCCTTACGAGGGCATTTCTTTGACAAGAGCCAACAGCCCACTATGACGTATGATGTCCTGAGTAGAGATGTGGTGTTGTTCGAGGCAAAGTCCATGCCTGTTTCCACTTTCTGGCATAAGGACTTAGACAAGGGGAAAAAGTGGAAAGGGCGTACCATCTCAGGCCAGGTGAGGGCCAAGGATCACATGATCCTTACATTGGAGGAAGGTGGTGCTGATGAGGTCCCGTATAGTCAGATTGAGTGGGGCCTCGAGGAGGAGGACAGTAGCGTGGGACAGGGGAGGTCCTATGCTGCTGTCGCGGCTGGAGGGAGGCCGCAAGGTAGAGGAGGAGGCCAGGGCCAAAGGGGCCAGGCCATGGGAGGCCGAGGATCAGGTGCACAGGGGGTTGGCGGTCAAGGGAACCGTCAAGCGGGAGGCAGGGGTCAAGGTCCCCCACTGAATCGCCAAGGTTCTAGTCGGTTCCCACAGCGACGAGGTGGCAGGTCACCTCAAAGGTCAGGAGGTTGGCACCCAGGCTGGCCACAAGGCCGGCCTTGGGAAGATTTGGGCCTGGACCAGAAAATTTGGCAGCAACGGATGGAGTAGGGGCAGTGCTTTTATTGTGGTGACCTTGCCCACATCATAAAATATTGTCCCAAGTATAGACAGGCCCGTTGGGCTGCCCAAGAGTCAAAAGGCAGCCATCGGTAGGGGTCGCAACTGCCCCTACTTCTAGGCCATGTGGGGAAGCGAGCGCGCGCACAGAGGAAACTCCCACACCACATGAGCCTTCGGCAGTCCAGAGGCTGCTTGTGTCAGCGTCTCTCTAGGCACGTCCCTCACAGGCGTGGCAGAAGAATTGAAGGAGAGGATGCCTTTCTGGGCCAAGATGAAGAAAGAGAGCAAAGGGAAGCTAGTACTAGTAGATGTAGAGGTTTTCAGGAGTAGAGTTGGGGCCCTTATAGACTCAGGGCGCACCCGGAGTTACATTAGCCGCAGAGCGCTGAAAAAGTTGAGGCTAGGGTTAAAAGTCCAGAAGTTGGAAGACCCCATAGTTAGTATCCTCGTAGACAACCGCACTATGCATGTTGAGGACTACGTAGAGGGAGTCCAGGCGTACTTTCCCCTAGAGAAAGATGGGAAGGTGGAGAAAGTTCTCCATTCCCTCACTCTCCTCGTACAGGATGACCTTCCGTTTGACATAGTCCTAGGCATGGGCTGGGGAGAGGCAGCAGGGGCCACACTCCACTTGAGAGAGCATGAGTGTAGGCTCCCTAGTCCGTCAGGCGAGGTTAAGACAGCCTGTCTGTTCCATGTGTCAGGAGTAGATAACTCGCTGGCACATTGCTGCCTCAGTGCTCCCGCGTTCGCGCGATTAGTGAAAAAGGAGCAGTTAGAAGACCAGGTCTTTGTAGTATATGTTAGACCTGTCACTGAGCCTAAGGAAGAGGATAGTTCCACAGATCCGGCCATTGCCAAGCTGCTGGAAGAGTTTAAAGACTTGTCTGAGCCGCCGACAGGAGTAGTGTCGTGGCCAATCCAGCACAGGATAGAGATAGAGCCTGGTAGTAGAACTCCTAAGGGAGCAGTCTACAGGATGTCCCCTAGAGAGTTAGAGGAGCTACGTAAGCAATTGGACGAGCTCCTGGAGAAAGGTGGATCAGGCCCAGTTCGTCTCCTTTTGGAGCACCTGTCCTGTTTGTCCCCAAGAACGAAGGAGAGCTAAGAATGTGTATAGACTACAGGGGTCTAAATGCTATTACAGTCAAGAATGTTGAACCACTGCCCAGGATAGACGATCTCTTAGATCGGGTGCAAGGTTGCAAATATTTCTCAAAGATAGATTTGAAGTCCGGTTATCATCAGATAGAAGTCCATCCTCACGGAGTCGGCTAATCATACGATTGACTCCAAAGTGTCCGGTGCCGGGAGCGTCGTGGAACTCGCCAAGAAGCCGTGTGCGCAAGTGTAAATCTCGCAGCACACAAAGAAGGTCCTTCCCTCGCGAGCGGACGAGCAAGTACCCCTCTTCGATCCGATAGTGCCATGATGCCAGATTAGGAGAGGAGCAATTTTGGGTACTTGTCGCAAAACTCGGGGTCGACTTGGTAGCCGCGGATGAAGCTATCCCACAAGTCGTCGTTAATCTCGAAAGTTGAGTAGACTACGGTACAATGGTCCGTACATCGTGAAAGAGCATTCGCAAAACGGTTTGACTTGCCCAAAATGTGGTCGGGGAAAAAGTCAAACTGGTCGATGAAGGCCATCCAACGGGTAATGGTGCTATTGACCATGTCTTGGGTCTTGTAGAAGACCAATGGATTGTTATCCGTTACCCATCGGAACTGCCGTCGACCGAGAAGAAAATGTTGCCAGCGCTTGAGCGCGTGTACGAAGACCAATAATTCCTTCTTCCTTGCGTCGTCAATCGAGGGCACGACGACCACTTTCTTGCTAAAGTACTCGATCGGGTGCCAGTCCACGCCATCATGTTGCTCGAGGCCGGCACCAATCCCATAGTCGGACGCACCAGTAGTGACACGTGCCGACAAAAACAGATCGCAGATGCGCAACACCTCCGCGGATAGCAATGCGGCTTCGAGGGCCAAAAAGGAAGTCCGCACATTGTCGTCGAAGTCGAATAGCCGATCCTCGCATTGAAGATTAGATAAATGAGCCGCGATCTTCGAGTATCCCTTAATGAAGCGTTGATAGTAGTCGGCTAAGCCAAGGAAGGAACGGACATTTGTGACGTTCTTTGGCTCCGGCCACTCTTGGATGGCTTGGATCTTGTCCGACAACGGACTGATGCCTTCCGGTGTGACAAAATGGCCCAAGTATTCCAGCTCGTGCCGAACAAATTCGCACTTGTCACGGTGGGTTTTGTACTTGGCGTGGCGGAGCATCTCCAACACTCGTCGAAGGTGCTCAAGATGATCCTCCAATGTCCGGCTATAGACGAGAATGTCGTCTAAGTACACTAGCACGAACCGGTCCAGCATCGCATGGAACTCATTGGTCATTGCCGCTTGAAAAGTCGGCGGGGCATTGGTGAGGCCAAAAGGCATAACGACCCACTCAAAATGCCCATACCGCGTCTTGAATGCGGATTCGTAGCGATCTTGGGGGCGTATCGAGATTTGCTAATAGCCCGACTTCAAGTCCAACTTCGAGAAGAATTTCATGCCGCCCAAACGCTCGAGAAGGTCGTCAATCCTCGGAAGAGGTCCCTTATTCTTGACGGTTTGTGCGTTGAGCTTGCTGCACAAGCGAAGATCCTTGTTCTTCTTCCATAGGAAGAGAACTGGTGCACCGTATGGTGAGCTACTAGGGCGGATCCAGCCCTTGTCCAACAGATCATCGAGTTGCACACGGAGAACCCCGATGTTACGGACTTCGCCAGGGCTCGATCCCTGGTCTATCTTTTGCTGTTTCGGCTGCATCCCGTTTTCGGCCTGGCACCCTTTTTCCAAACCCCTCCTTTTGGTACCGTAGGATTTTGGACAACTGCCGCCATGCTGCAATTCGGGCGCCACTTTCAAATACTGCATTTTTCAGTTCTGCCCTCGGGGCCTTTGCAGAAATGCCCCTGGTACCGTACGTGTCACCGGTACTTATGACCGGCTCCCCGTACGGTACAGGGGGGAGTCTCGACCAGTCGCGTACCAGTTCTCTGCTGCTGTACTCGTACTCAGTGTGACTTGCCGTTTGGGCATTCGGAATCGAAGACTTCGACTTTGTGCCTTGCCACTGTGTCTGCGTCCGACCCTCAGTCCGAGTCCGTCGTGTCGAGTGAGTGAGTGTGTGTGTGTGCTCTCACTCTCTCCCTCTTTCTCCCTCTCTCTCATCTCCCTCGGCTCACCCTCAGCCTCACGCTCGTTACACCCGAGCTCTTCCTCGCTCATGCGATAGATGCATCCTTTCGGCGGCACGACACCGGCCTCGAGAATGATCTCGCGGGAGATCGACCGATCCAGCACCACACCGGTAGGAGACTCGAAGATGTCGGTGAACTCGTCGAGCAGCCGCACCACTCGGGGGTCCGAAGACAAGTCCGTAGGTGAAGATTCGATCGTCGTGACGGCTCGTAGAAAACATAGGCCTATCTCGTTGGTCCGCTCGTAAGCGCAAGTGGCCCGAAAAGACTTGGCCGTTACAACTTGGCACCGGATCGAGGGGTGCGGAAGAAGAATGGTACACGACACCTCGGCGCCGAAGGCGTCGCTAACGGTAAGTGTCCGCTGATGGAAGTTAACCGTGTGATCCGCACTCGCAAGCTAAGGCATCCCCAAAATGATGTCGAAGTCCGTGTCCAAGACGTCAAACGTCATTGGTTCGCAGGCATGAGGTGCGAAATAAACCGGCACAACTTCAATGTAGCAATCGAGGAGTTGTTGCGTCCGACTGTCCGCCAACTTGATCATCGTCGGGTTTGGCTTTCTTCGAACTTGTGCGCCAAGCCCGACCCTTTGGATAAAGGACTGGCTGATGAAATTGCGAGTCGCGCCGCTATCCAGCAAAGCGTTGCAGGACGCTTGCCCAACTTGAATGCGGACATGAAGGAGCGGTGCGTTGTTATCATCGTACCGCTGCATGCAAAACTCACGGGCCACCTTGCTAACATACGCAAGGATATCCCCCACTGCAGCTTCGTCATCAGTCAACGAAGGTGGTGGTGCATAGAAGACTATGTGTGGAGATGGGCGCATAATGTTGCGCATTGCAGTCCCGGCAAGCAGCCTATCGAAGGGAAAGGAAGCCATGCAAAATCCTCGGACGTCAGCGGGTCCAAGACCTCTATGTTGAACTCGTGCGTCGAATCCCTTGAAGAACCACTTGAAGACGATTCATTGTCGCTGTTGCCGAACGGAGAAGAAGCCGCACACACATCTTGTCCTTGAGCTTGAGAACCCAGCGAAGGAACGAGCCAGGCAGCATAGTCCTCATAAGAATAAACGAGAGGACTGTCGACTTCCGCATGTGCCTCGGAATGAAGAGAGGTTGCTCGCGAAGCAACGGGTTCTGAAGGCGTCGAGAGTGCAGCCGCATCACTCTCGGCGGTGCTCACTTTCCCGAAGGAAATTTGCCTTTGACTTGCTTGGGGCATTGAGCGGTGTCGTGCACCGCGCTGTTGCACCACAACCAGTATCGGTACTTAGTACGGATGCGGTAAACGCCTTCCGAGATACCGTAATGTGTCCAAGGCTCTTGAGCTGCTGGCCCGGCCCCGGGGGATGAATTGGTGTGCGTCTTCGGTTTGCCGCGTCCTCGCCCTCTGGCAGGGCGGCCACCATCCCGGGCGGCTGCCAATCTGTCTCCTTCATTAGAAGAGGCGACCTCGTTTGAAGGGTCGGTCGCTGTAGTTGCTGCGACCACGACCACTTTCGGTCGATGCTGATCTTTGCCCTCTCACAGCGGACGAACGACCCAAATTCTTGGCTTCGGTGTTCGTCAGGATGACCTGCGAGGCTTTATCAAACAGCTGCTCACTTGTGGTGAGCGTCTCCGCAACGCGTCAAGGCGTTCTGCAACGCCGGACAACTCCTCCTGATGAAGAAGTGTTTGATGGCGACAAAGGTCAACGACAAGTTGGGCGTGGACGCCAAGCATTGGTACTCGGTTATCCAGTCCATGTTTGGCAGGTCATTATGATAGGACCGTTGAAGTTTCTCGGCTGCCTGCAGCTCGGGCTGCTCCACCTGGAACCGCTTATGCCATGCTGCCTTGGGATCAGCCCAGCTGATCTTCGTATGCAGCTCGGAGACTATGACGGTGTGCGTGGACATGTTGTCCAGCCATGCCTGGCACGTGCCCCCCGAGCGAGAGTATAAGTATGCGTGCCGATTCGAGTTGCTGACGTGGTGCATGTCCAACTTCAACTCGAACTGCCGCCACCATGGAATCGGGTCCGTCTTCGCTGCATCGCAAAAGATCGGCAGGTTGTCAAACTTTGGGATGCTCTCGCGAGTAGTCGCGGTCGGACTGGCACAAATATGCTGGTCAATCCGCTATTTGTCCCTAGAGCGCCGTCCTTGAGAGTCCCGACGTCGATTTCCAAGACGTTGACATGATCCGCCAAGTTGGAGGGTTCGGTGGGGGTGGCTGTTGTAGGCTGTTGTTCCAGCCGGCGTACCGGTCAAGCAGTTCGGCGTTAAGTCGAGCCTGCTTCCGGACCAGGGTATCCACGCAGAGGATGTTCTCTTGCTGTGCTGCACAAGTGGCGACCAAGTCGCTCACATGTTCGATTGTGGTTGCAAGGCCACCCACATCAGGGGGGGCATCCTCCTCTTCAGCAGCCACTGCCCATTCGCTGGCGATCACCTCGATGTCCCCCTCAGATTCGAGGATTTTGTCTCGGCGTAGTCGACGACGTTCGTCTGCGGCCTTCCTTGCTGCCTCGGCACCCTCCTGTCGCTGTTATTCAGCGAGGCGACGTTGTTCCTCTGCTTCCTCATCTTCCTTCTTACATGCGGATGTTGCTGCAGCTGCCCGTTGCTTGAACTCTGCTACCATATCCAGCATGTGGGTCTCATAGGCCTTGGTAGTCTCTCCCGGTTGCTGGTCCATACTGCTTGTCTTTGAGCGGGTGAGCACCATGCACTGACGTGACCTGCTGCTGCGGTGACTGGTTGCTAACGTGGCACTGTTGACCTGTCCTGCTGACGTGGCAACTCACCAATGCCGCCGCAGGGGGTACCTGGAGACAGATTGTGGCGGACCCACCACGTGTGGTCCGCCTGGGGTAGAGATGGAGGTGGAGGAAGAAAGGGGAGCGAGATGGCACAGCGCAGCTCCCACGCTAAACTCCAACGCACGTACTCCAAAGTGTGCGAACGTAGAATGATCCGGAAAACAGACAACAGCTGGGGTATACCCCATCGGACTGACGGGACTGGACTACCCCGAATACAACACAAGCCTGTGAGAACAGGCCAACCAGAGGTCCGCTACACGATCCTCGGCCTGTGATGGATCGCCTAGATACAAGCACGCTTCCGCCAAGAAGCGGAACTCTACCAAAGAAAAAGAAAACCTGAGTAGTCTAGGATGTGGAGCAAGCTCCATGCTGCGTCCATGCGATGCAACCTAGGATAAGAAATGTCACAAAAACAACAATGTCACAACTAACAGCCTAAGTGAAAGCAGAAGCAACTAACTAGCATACATGTCATAGGAAAGCAGAAGCAACGAACTAGCATACATGTCCTAGGAAAGCAGAAAGTAATGACAGCTAGATCCCAGAATGTTGGAGGCAGTAGCCTCAGTCTGGAAACAACTGACTAGTGTATAAGTCCTAAGAACAGCAAAAGCAGAACAACTAAATCCTAGAAATGTCCGAGGCAATAACCTCAGTCTGAGAGCAACAAAGCAACAACAAGACAACCATATGTCACAGGAGGAGTGTGTCGCAAACCAAAGGGTGGGATGGTCTCTGAGGGTGGCAAATGCAGCCTAGGGGTCGATAACTCCTAAGGGCATCCACACAAAATGACAGGGAGGCACATGTCATCAGGCTCAATGAGGATAGGGAACTGGGAGCGAACAAAACCAATGACCCCAACAGACAGACCGTCAGGGCGTGTAATGCGGTGACCGCTAAGGAGGGTCAACCATGCAAGGGAATAAGGGAGCCTGGTATACTGGGCGCACCTAGATGAAGCATGCAAGGCTGCCTAACTAGGGCGTGAGGGCCGGCAGAGGGTAGAAAAATGATGGGTAAGGGAATCATGCAAATGACTCCTAAGGTGAGGGAAGTCGGAGCTAGGTCCTCAAGCTGGGAAGCCCGGGCAACGCTACGGTCCGGATGCCTATGCGTATACCAAGGGAGAGCCCAACTTAGAGGAACTCGGTGAAGGGAGACCATCATGCGACACAACCAGGGTACTGTACAGGGTAAGGTGGTAAGAGAGCGACGACGTCTGAAGTAGGCAGAGCTGATCGTGGCGAAGTCCATGAAGCTGCCGATGACTTCCATGATGAGAAGTCCGGAATGCCGTCGAGGAAGAGCCGCAACGTCGACGAGCTGAAGTGGCAAAACTGAAGTGGATGGAGTACCGAGGAGTCAAAGACGTCGGAAGATAAGTCAGAGTCAATCGTCGTATCGAGCTGGATGACGACGAGTGCGCTGTGGACGCTCAGAAGCATCCGACTGTTGTTGAAGGTCTGCCTCAGATGGAGCACGCTCGACTTCAGCGGTCTCCTCAACCGAGGGAGAAGGAGGAGGGTCAGTGGGCTGAGGAGGAGCAGTCAACCCAACACGACGAGCACGACCATAGGCACGCACCAACATGGGAGCGTGCTGCAAGTGCTCGAGGGGCTCCCAAGTAGCCTCCTCATCAGGGTAACCCTTCTAACGTACGAGATACTCGACATGGGGAGGGTTGTCGTCGGTGACTCGACGACCAATGATGTCTGAAACAAGGAACTCCTCGTGGCCGTCCACCATGATGGGTGGAGGGCGCTCGTATGGTCGTCGAGCGAAATGCTCAGACGGTCTGCGGTAGGGACGCAATAACGAGACGTGGTAGACATCGTGCACACGAGCCTGGTGTAGGTAGTCGGACAACTTTACACGAAAGTTGACCGGGCTAGAAGCCGTATCAGAACCGACGGCTTGGAGAATGCGGCATGGGCCAAAGAAGCGACGCCGAAACTTGCGAAGCGTGTCCGCTTCGAGCTGTAAGTGGCGGACGTCGATAAGCACATCATCACCGACTTTGAATGGATGATTCATCTTCGATCGGTTTGCACGTGCTCCCATGCGAGTTTGGGAAGCGACTATATGCTCATGTGCGGTCTTCATGATCGACGTCATGTGTGCAACCCAATCATCCAGCGCGGGACAACTCGTGTCGGGGTGCATTTGTGACGGTCGAAGAAAGTCTGCGGGAACACGAGGGTGATAGCCGAGGTCGCAATAGTAAGGCGACATCCCCGTGGCTGGCGAGACGACGTGGTTGTAGGCTATCTCCGCATGGGCAAGATGGAGATCCCACTGCTGGTCGTCACGAACAATCTCTCGAAGAATATCTTCGAGAGTCCTGTTCGTGACCTCGGTCTGACCATCAGTCTGGGGATGGTAAGACGAGGAGAAGCGGAGCTGGGTGCCGTAAACCTCGTGGAGCCGTCGCCAGAATCGGCTGGTAAAGCGCGGGTCACGGTCAGCTATGATGCTTAGAGGTAAGCCGTGGTCACGCACGACTGGATCAAACACGATGTCGGCGACCTCACGTGCACTGATGGCATAGCGGCACGGAACAAAGTGTGCACGCTTCGTGAAGCGGTCGACGACGACCAGGATAGCATCATGACCGCGTGGGGTCGGAGGACGAAGAGGACCGCTAAAGTCCATCGAGATGGACTGCCAACGACCCTCGGGGGTAGGAAGAGGTTGGAGCTAACAATAAGGCAAGTGGTTCCCACTGTTCACCTCCTGACAGGTGAGACACTCTGCGGCGTAGTCCTTCACAAAGTCCTTGCGCTTCAGCCAGACGTACAGGCGGCTCACACGAGCCAACGTCTTTTGGAAGCCCATATGACCGGCGACTGCCTGGTCATGGAACTCAGCTACTGTCTGGACACGTAGTTGTCTAGTGGAGGGAACACAAATACGGGGCTCTCTGGTGCCTTGTGAACCGTGCCAGTACACAAGACCGTTGTCCCCGAGAGAGTAGTTCGGGACGGTCTTGCCACTCCGAAGGGTCGCACGGATGTCGCGATCGGGGCAGTGGCGGTACTGAGTGCGAAACTCGTCGATCACCGAGTGGTGGACGGTGGTGACCGAGATGGCAGCGAGCTGGATCTGCTCCTGATCATGGTCAGGGCGTCGGGATAAGGCATTTGCGACCCAATTAGTCTCACCCTTGATGTGCTCAGTGGTGAAACTAAACTCGGATAGGTCGCGCCACAGTGAGCCTGTCGAGGAGTGAGTTTCAACTTTGTCAGAAAAGCCTGGACAACAGAGTTGTCCGTGCGCACCGTGAATGGTGCCCCGTGCAGGTAGTGACGCCCATGCTGAGCGGCGTAAACTACTGCGAGAACCTCACGTTCATCAGCCGTGTAGTTCATCTCGGCGGGTAGAAGCTGACGGGAGTAGAAGGCTATCGGACAATCACCTGAGCGAGACTCGACAGTGCCATCCTGGGCGATGGTAGGAGAATAGTCAATAGAAGGCTCGTCCGTAGCTGGACGAGTAGGCGTCAGGGGGGAAGCAGTGGTAGGGGTAGGAGGTGGGAAGCGAGGGATGTGAGGATGAGAGGAATCAGGAGAGGAGGGAAAAATCTGAGAAAGCACTGCTCCTACAGCAAAGTCTGACGCATCGGTGGTAAGGATAAAAGGGCGATCAAAATCGGGTAGGTGAAGAACCGGTGCACATGTCACCGCCTTCTTGAGGGCGTGGAAGGCGTCCTCGTGGAGGGGTGTCCAAACCCATGGCGGGTTCTTCCGGAGGAGGGTGGAGGTAAGGACGTAGGAATACCTAGCGTATCCCTGGATGAAATTACTATAGTAGCTAGTGAGGCCTAGGAAGCTGCGAAGCTGCTTGGCAGATGTGGGGACGAGCCACTCCGCGATAACAGTGATCTTCGCGTTGTCCATGTGGAGACCCTGGTCAGACACGTAGTGTGCTAAGAAATTCACTTTGTGTTGGGCAAAGCGACACTTGCTCAACTTGGCGTAGAAGCCATGACTGCCCAATCGGCCTCGGTGTTGCGGAACCGACGAGACCGCGGAGTACCGAGAATGAATTCGTACCCCGTCTCCATCACATCGAAATGTGCAGAGGAGGGGTGACGACGAGACGCCGGGGGACGATCAGTCGTCTCGAGAGTGAGGAAGAAAGGGAGGTCAGTCACCGTCTGATCGAAGAAGCTCTGGGTCTTGTCATCCCCTAGGGTGACAGAGATGGGAGTCGGAGACCCTGTCGTGGGTAAGCGGGCTTCTTTCACCACACGTGGGTGAATGAAGTCGCCCTGGGAGCCGGAATCCCATAGCGCTGAGTACACCCTCGTGGAGGTCCCCAGTCGTACTGGAATGATCGAGAGGGTGCGATCAGGGTCAGAGAGGATGGTGAGAAGGCGACGCAGTGTAGCGACATGGAGGATGAGTCGCTCTTGACGAGCCTGGAGCATGCTCAAGTCAAAAAGAGAGGACACAACGTCCTCACGAGTCGCAAGTTGCTTGCTGCAACGGGTTGAGCGAATGGCTCGACGCGTCAGTAGTCGCGGAGGGGTAGGAGGGGAGACGGTGGTCTGCAGAGGCGCAGACGGTACAGCGACAGAGGGCGGAGTACACTCTGTCGGGTCCTGCGATACCTCAGCTCCAGTAGCAAGAGGGGCGAACCGCGACGGAGATGTCGGGAAGCCCACTTCTGAGGACGGCGCAGGTGTACACTGCACCGTGGCTAGGAGGCGCCGTGGGGATGCAAGGCGCCAGGGGGGGACTGAGCACGACGCTGGCGGGAAAGGTCAGCGTAGTGGCGGTCGAGGGCGGCAGTGTAAGGGCACCGCGAGGAGGTATAACCGTCTTTGGCGGCAGCGCAAACACCCATGTCGGCCCAAAATGGCCGCGCGCTCCTCAACGGAAAGGACACCTCAAGGAGGGACAAAGCCCTGAGGGAGGTCCTGTTGAGGGACCTCGGGGGGCGACGCGCCAGCGTGACCGGAGCGGCTGCGTGCCCGGGAAAGGGCGAAGAGGATGAGCTGGAGGCGCTCGGCCATAGGGAGAGTAGAGTCCTCCAGGTGGTAGTGGACGGCCTCGCCGAGGTCGAGGTCGTCGCTATGGTCACCCTCAGGCGACAGTGGGGCAACAACGTCCTCCTCACCATACTCGAGCGCGCTGAAGCGACGCGAGAAGTGGCGGCCCTGCTGCGCGGAACGGCGGGGGTGGCCGCGGACAGGGGAGCGGCGTTGGGAAGTGTCATGAGAGGAGGAGGGGGTGTAGCCAGTAAGCGGAGGCTGGGAGGAGGAGGCGGGGTGAAGATGGGCCCGCATCCGCTGATGGGTCCTGGCGGCCTCGTAAGGTTGCGGGGTCGATGTGAACTCGTACCGCCATAACTCGGAGCGGTACTCAAGGGGAAGGTTGGTCAAGAAACGGTCGATGAGGGCAGCCTCGGGGAGGAACGCCACATCATAAGTGAGGCGAGCATCCTGAAAGACCTGGATGTGGCGGTCCAGGTCGAGAGTCGGACCAGCGTGTGCTGATGACACGCTCGAAGGCATCAGTGACGTCATATCGGGCTCCTAAACGATCCTTGAGGAACGCCTGAAAATCCATGAAGGTCGGGGTCCGACTCTCACGAAGGGAGTGCTCGTAGAAATCCTCCCAGGCGTCGAAAGGTCCGCCACGCAAGCGCGTGGAGAGGTGAGCCACCCACATGTCGGGTGGGGCACCCATGAGCTGGAGCGTGCGGGTAGCACACTGCAGCCACCGAGATACGCGTATCCCTGTACCGTTGTACAAGGCAATCTCCGTCAATCGAACGAGTGGCGCGCCACCGTTTTGGCGGCAAGGGGATCGAGGAGCAGAGGTCTGTGCTACGACGGAGTAAGTCAGCGCAGGTCCTGGAGAAAGGGGCGTAACTGACTGTACGCTTGGGCTGCATGGGGGAGCGGTGGGGGCAACCGCGACAGGCTGCGAGGGAGCTGCGGTGGAAGAGGTCGCAACAACCGAGGGAATAGGAAGAAGGTAGGATGGGGATGGATAGGGTGCAGGGCGAGGGAAGCGAGCATGCATGGAAGGAAGAGGAGGAAGAAGGGGGTGCGCCCGAAGGCGTAAGAGAGCGAGGTCGGCCCGGGTCTGGGCCAGCTCGTCCTCGAGACGTCGAACGTTAGATTGAGCGAGGAGTGGCAGGAGGAAGGGTGGGGGAAGTGGACGCACGAGCGGCGCGGGGCATCCCACAGGAGGGAGAGCCAGGTGGCGCTACGATCGTGCGAAGGGGAGGGAGAAGCGGGGCACCCGGAAAAGCTGAGACCATGGCAGCGGGTTGTGGTCCCGTGGCCGTAGTGACAGGAATCTGGACGGGTGCGCCCGTAGAGTGAGGGAGGGCCTGGCCCGTGGCGGCCGTCGCGCTAGGAGCGTGGACGGTCACCAAGATGGTTGGGTCGGGGGCGGCAGAGGAGGAAGCTCAAATAAAACGAATTTCGAAAATTCAAAAAAAAATATTCCCGATTTCCAAATAACGGGAAATTGCAAAAGGAAATCGAAATTTTCAGAAAAAAGATATTCCGGATTTCCAACAACGAAATTTCGAATTTTCAGAAGAAAAACGAGAACGGACATTTCAGGTGTTGCGCTATTGCGATTTTCCACAACAGAAATAGTGGGAAAACAAAATCCAAGAAAAAATTGTGTTAAACTCCGGGCCGCCCAGCGGCCCAGCCTCCGTCCAGCAGGGGGCCCGGGCGGCCCGGCCGGTTGGGTCCCCCGGTTTGACGCGGGGCGGGCCCAACGCATTTTTGCGCGGGGGGGCAGGGAGGCCTTTTTCGATGCTTTTTTCACGCTTGTGAGCCTCCCCGCCCCCCCGCACAAATTCTTCTGCAGAGCGGCCTTCGAATTTGAACGTGGATTTTGTGCTGCCCGTCGAAGTGGTCTCGTCGCTGCCCGCCGAAGAGTTTGCCGTCGCTGCCCGCCTTCGCCGAGGTGCCCGTCGTCGATGCCCGTTGTCACTGCCCGCCGCCGCTGCCCGTCGTCGCTGCCCGTCGTCGAAAAGCTGCCCCGTCGCCGTCGATACGGTACCGTTGCGCGAAGTGCCACGTGTGAAGCTCTCTCTCTCTCTCTCTCTCTCTCTCTCTCTCTCTCTCTCTCTCTCTCTCTCTCTCCTCCTCCTCCTTCGTCATCCCTTTTTTTTTTTTTTTCGTCGACGTATCACGAAACCGGCAGGTCCTTCTCCTCGTCCTCCTCCTCCTCCTCCCTTCATCTTCTTCTCTCCTCCTCCTCCGTATTTCATTGGCTTTCTTCATCGGGCGAAGTGCCACGTTTCAGTCTCTCTCTCTCTCTCTCTCTCTCTCTCTCTCTCTCTCTCTCTCTCTCTCTCTCTCTCTCTCTCCTTCCCTTTTTCTTCTCTCCTCATCCTCCTCCCCCTCCCTTCGTCTTCTTCTCTCCTCCTCCTCCTCCTCCTCCTCCTTCGTCATCTTTTTTTTTGTTTTTTTCCGTCAACGCAACTCAAAATCGGCAGGTCCTCCTCCTCCTCCTCCTCGTCCTCCTCCGCCTCCTCCTCTCTCTCCTCCTCCCCCTCCCTTCGCCTTCTTCTCTCCTCCTCCTCCTCCCCCTCCCTTCGTTTTCTTCTCGCCTCCTCCTCCTCCTCCTCCCTAAGTCTTCTTCTTCTTCTTCTTCTTCTACTACTACTACTACTACTACTACTACTACTACTACTTACTCTACTACTACTACTACTACTACTACTACTAACTCTTCTTCTTCTCCTCCTTGTAATTCTTCTTCTTCTTCTTCTCCTTGTAATTCTTCTTCTTCTTCTTCTCGTTCTCCTTCTTCTTCCGATATTTGAACTTTCTTTTTTCCCTCGCTGGTGGGTCCCTGCATCCTCTACTTCCACGACACAATGGCGGGCGGTGCCAGCGACATTGGAGGGGGGAGTGGCGGGTCTGGACGGAGGAGGGGCGAAACGGCAAAAGAAACAGGAAAAGGCTGCTACAACACACCCTTTCCTCTCCTCCTCCCCCTCTTCGCCTTCTTCTCTCTTCCTCCTCCTCCCCCTCCCTTCGTCTTCTTCTCGCCTCCTCCTCCTCCTCCTTTCTCCTCCTCCTCCCTAAGTCTTCTTCTTCTTCTTCTTCTTCTACTACTACTACGACTACTACTACTACTACTACTACTACTACTTCTAACTCTTCTTCTTCTTCTCCTGGTAATTCTTCTTCTTCTTCTTCTCGTTCTTCTTCTTCTTCCGATATTTGAACTTTCTTTTTTCCCTCGCTGGGTCCTTGCATCCTCTACTTCCACGGCACAATGGCGGGCGGTGCCAGCAACATTGGAGGGGGGAGTGGCGGGTCTGGACGGAGGAGGGGCAAAACGGCAGAAGAAACAGGAAAAGGCTGCTACAACACACCCTTTTCCCCCCTTGTCAAATTTCCCCCACCAACTCCCCTTCCCCCCCCCCACGACTGTCACAAGTTTCTCTGCGGATTCGGGCTCCTCTCAGCAAGCGCACTCCAACCCCACCTTCAAAAACCAAAAAAAAAATTCCTGGGATGTTTTTTGGCTCGTCTGGTTTTGCCGGACGGACCCCCCCCCGTCCGTCTGGGCCGGACATCGACCTAACCCAGAGAAAAAAAAAAAAAATTTTGATTTTCGGCAGTGAGCGCAAAATCGTGATTTTGGGGGCTAACTAGTGTGCTCTAATCAATCAATCAATCAAGGCTAATCAACTAATTAGTCCCCGCACACGTGTCAGATCAGGTTGTCCTGATTCACGTACGGTGTACCGATACCAACTGTTACATGCCCAGTTGGGCCATGTACATATACAGCCAAGGATTTGCAATGTGATGAAAAGGACTGAATGGACAATGCAATGCTGGTAGAATCTCAACAAGCAGTGTACATCCTGATACATACAAAAATGGTGCTTTGTAGCGCAGTGGAAGACTTAGATAAAAGTCCTGACCTGACTGGGACTGACCTCCCTCACGTAGTACAAGACAGTGTAGCGAAATGCTAGAATACCAATGACTAGCCCAACCAATGTCGCAATGCAGACCCAACATACATCATCCTCATCACAAGGTGTGAAGGGGCCTGGCGCTACACACAGGAAGAATGCAGACCCAACATACATCATCCTCATCACAAGGTGTGAAGGGGCCTGGCGCTACACACAGGAAGAATGCGC